CTTTAATTCTGAAGCGGATTTACTCACTCGCGAAAGCCTTTTCATATCCAAGCTTAATCCTATTTTAAATGCCAACATTAGGTCAACTCCTCTTGACCTATTCTAATGCTTTGCTAGGTCTCTAATTACTAACCATTATATATTTAAATTAATTTACTAATAATTCTAATGATAGGTTGTTTTTCATCCCTTCCTCTTATTCACTTATTTGAATAATGTAGCTGTTTAAAATATGTATATATATATATATATATATATATATATATATATATATATATATATATATATATATATATATATATATATATATATATATATATATATAAACATATACGCTTGTAAATAAATTTAATTGCTCTGAAGATGTTGTGAATAATACAACGAAACGTTAGCCAATAAAATACAAAACAATAGATACTCCGAAAATTGAAAGCATTTTGAAAAATTTATTTCGACGTTTCGACTAAACTATAGTCATCATCAGGAAATGAATGATGATGATATTACATATGTACAAGTATATATAGTGAAGTAACAAGACACGATTAGTTAAATATTAACAGATCTTTAGAGGCTTTAGTTCCATGGTTTAGGGACGGTTTCATTCTATTAATAGCAATAGACTCTTGATAAAGTATCAACGACCAGTGATTGGATTTATCTATTATCTTAGTGTTAGTAAATATTAAATCTGTTACTGAACATTTAATGTTATTAACTTCGTCATTAGGTGTTAGTTCGAGTAGGTTTTCCGAATGGTACTACTGTCTACCACTGACATTAAACATATACTTAATACTTTCAATACCTTCGACAGTCAAATACAACATTGTAACCAGATCAGGGGTAAATGCATTTGGTTCAAGAGAATCGAAAGGGGGGGGGGAGTCAAGTTGAAATGTTATTTTTGTCTGGAAAATCATTATGTAGATGAATGCAAAAGGTTTATCGATATGACCCCCAACGAAAGATGGAAAGTCGTAAGGGAGCAAAGAGCATGTTTTTCATGTCTAAAGAGAAGTAAAGGTCGCACTGCTGTGAACTGTACTCGAAGGAAAGAGTGTGGTCAAGCAAATGGGAATGGTGACAACTGTACGAAATACCATCATAAGCTGCTCCACTGCAACAACATCGAAGAAAGAACAGGTAACCGTGTCCATTCTACACGAGACAACAGCAGCACTACCATACTCCCTGTAATTACTGGTTTAGTTAAAGGAAAGGACGGTGTTATGTCAGAAGCTAATGTATTTTATGATAGTGGTGTTCAGATCTCTATGATTCGCAGAAGTTATGAGGAGTCCTTGGCATTGGAAGGAAAGCCTATTAACATTGTGATTACTAAAGTTGGAGGAGTGGAAGAAGAGTTAACAACAAAATTGTACAGAGTTCCAGTGTACAATTCTGATGGGAAAAGAGTCCAAATAGTTCAAGCAGTTGGCATCGCACAGATTTCAGAAGACATTCCCAATGGTAATATAAGCGAAGTCTCAAAAATCTTCGACATTCCTACTAGTATGCTGAAGCGCAAAGTGGGCCCGGTCGACCTTCTGATTACTCACAGTTCCACGCTGGTGAAACTAAAATTAAGAAGAATCTTGCTGTCAGAAAAAGTCCACTTGGTTGGGTAGTCTTTGGAACTGACTCAAAGGAACTGACTTTCCAAAACAATAACGTTTTGCATGTGCGTCTTGCCCCCCAGATGATTTGACAGATTCTTGGAACTGAACTGGATCAATGGGTGTTTCCCCCTCGTTATGCAATTGTCAAGAAGTTGAGATGTCTTTGAAAGAACAGCAAGAGTTAAAGTTGATAGAAGAGTCCTGTGAGTTGGTAGGCAAGAAATGGATAATGAACTATCCGTGGAAGAAAGACCCTAGCCAATTGCCAAACAACTATTCGCAAGTCCTGAAAAAGCTGGAAAGTACAGAGCGTCGCTTGAGTAAGCAGCCAAACCATGCCAAAGATTATGATGCACAGATAAAAGAAATGGAAGACAGAAAGTTCTCGAGAAAGTTAACACAAGAGGAAGTTGCAGAATGGAAAAAGCTAGCCCATTATATCGCTCACCACGCCGTAGTTCGTGAAGAAAAGAAGTCTACGCCGGTGCGTATCGTTTTCAACAGTTCAGCGTCGTTTAAAGGACACTGTCTAAACGATTACTGGTACAAAGGTCCCGACCTACTTAATAACCTTTTTGGGGTAATACTGCGTTTTCGGCAGAATGCTGTTGCTGTTTGTGGTGATATAGCAAAGATGTATCATATGGTTGACATCCCGCCAATTTATCAGCATGTCCACCGGTTTCTTTGGAGGAGTTTCGAGACAGAGCGCAAGTCTGATACCTACGTTAAGACAGTTCTTACGTTTGGGGACCGTCCATCTCCACCATGGCCATCGTTGCAATGCGTAAAACTGCTGAGCTGAAAGAGGATGTCAAGCCGGAAGCTGCCAATTCAATCAAGAAGAATACCTACATGGATGACATATGTGACTCGCAGAACACCGTACAAGCAGCCAAAGATCTGACAAGAGATATTGATGAAGTACTTGATGCTGGCGGATTCCATGTTAAGGGATGGGTATCAAACGCAGTGCTGAATGATGAAGAGCAACAAGGAGAGGTCGTACTTGGTCACGATCCGCTGAACGATACACAGAAAGTTCTTGGAACAGTTTGGAACCCTCAACAAGATAAGTTTTCATTCAAAATGAAATTGGGACATACTGATGTTTCAGAAGAGGATGAATCCCTACGCTCTACAGTTCCAGGAAAGTTAACAAAGCGTATCATTTTGAGCAAGATATCTGGAATCTTTGACCCGATTGGAGGTGGTGCCGCTGTTCTGATAAAAGCGAAGATAGCGATGCAAGACTTATGACTGCGATGGCTGGGTTGGGATGACCATGTCCCACCAGACATCAGAAAGAAATGGACGGTGTTGTTCAATGAAATGTCTACCTTAAATTAGATTGAATTCGAGCGTTGCTTGACACCCCTGAATGCAATTAGTAATCCGTGGTTAATTATATTCTGTGATGCCTCTCGGTTGGCATTTGGTGCTTGTGCATATATGAGATGGCAACTTGAAGGCGGAGCATTCGGCGTAAGATTTGTTGCTGCGAAATCGCGTGTGGCGCCGTTGAAAGAACTCACAGTTCCTCGCCTGGAATTGCAAACTGCAGTCTTAGCTAGCCGCTTGGCTAAGGCCATCCTGAAGGAAACCCGCCTGAGGATTGCACGAACAATCTTCTTCTCGGACAATCGTGTCACACTTGCATGGATTCAGGGACAGCCGCGAACCTATAAGAGTTGGAAAACGCGGAGGAGTACTGGCTAAAGCAGATGCAGTCAAATCTCTTAAAAGATTACCTAGAGGCGATTTCAAGACCCAGTCTCCATATAAGGACGATAGAAATATCCTCAGAGTCGGAGGTCGTGTGAATCCAACCTTAGTTTCCTACGATGAAAGACGTCCCGCACTTTTACCATATGATCACCATCTGTCAACCTTAATAAGTCCGTGATTATCACCAAACAAGTCATTCTGGTGTCGCCACGACAGTCGCCAAAATACGTAGAAAGTATTGGGTCATCAAAGCTCATAGGATTGCGAAAGTCGTTAAGCAACGGTGCACAACATGTCGAAAGCTCGAAGCGAAAGTTGAAACCTAGCTCATGGCTACCCTACCACCGTGTCGTTTGCAGCCGTGCACCCCACCGTTCCTGTACTCAACAGTGGATTACTTTGGACCAATCAACGTAAAAGTAGGCAGAAACAAAACTGTTAAACATTATGGTGTAGTATTCACGTGCATGAATACCAGAGCCATCCATTGCGAGATTGCTGTTGATGCCAGCACGATGGAGCTCTTGCAAGTCTTAAGAAGGTTCTTTTCATACCGTGGTTATCCGAAAGTACTCTTATCTGACAACGGAACGCAGATGGTAGGAGCAAACAACGAATTGAAGTTAATGATCGAAGGATGGAACAAAGATCAATTGGAAGAATTTTGCGCAGCCAGAAGAATGAAATGGCAATTCATCACACCATTGGCACCACATCAAAATGGACGCTCTGAGGCGATGGTAAAAAGTGTGAAGCAAGCAATGAAGAAAGCAATCGGCGATGCCCTTTTAACACCATTCGAGCTATACACGTGCGTTTTGGAAGCTGTGAATTTGGTAAACCAACGGCCGATTGGAAGAGTAACAACAGATCCGGATGATGGGGGATACCTATGTCCAAACGATATACTATTGGGCAGAGCTACGAATGCTGTGCCTCAAGGTGCTGTGCCTCGCCACCGATTCGAGTTCTGTCAGAGAATTATTGATGCTTTTTGGAAAAAGTGGTCAAGAGACGTCCTACCGCTATTAACCCCACGAAAGAAATGGAACACGCAAAATCGCAATGAACGATTATGTTATAGTATCCGAGCCAAACGCAGTGAGAGGAAAGTGGAACACGGGAAAGATTGTAGAAGTATTTCATGGAGACGACGGTTTGGTCAGGAATGAAAACTGCTACCGGAACCTACAGCTGACCTATCAACCAGATATGTGTAATTTATCCAGCAGAAGGCTACGATGATACGATGAGGAGTGAATGGGAGTTCTGCCATTGTCGGGGGGAGTGTTTCATTGACAATGAAAGAACGTTATGTTAGATTATTATAACATTGCTTAATTAGTCGGCATTTTCTCGAACGGTATTCGGAATGATCCGTGAATGCAAAAGTGATGAGCCAAGCAGATTGTTGAACATGTTTTTAATTTGTAAAGTTTTTAAGACTATATGAGGCTTTATTACTAAGATTTATTGTTATTTAAATGTCAAGATAGAAGAGAAAAGATATGCTTGGGACAGATGTAAGTTTAAAGCTTTAGTTTAATCGATTTTGTCATATTATTATAATTTTAATCCATGTAAACATAGCGATTTATTTCTATATATTCAGTTTCAGATTGTTGTTGTTATTTATCGATATTAAATATTAATCCTGAAACCCCAAGCGTGTTTTATGGTAATATGTTAGTTCCATGCCATCGTCGGTACAATCGTGTTATTTTCTCTACTTGACGACCGGAAATGTCTCGGGCTTGGACACGTGGAAAACTAGAGAAAGGATTATTCCATGTTGTGATGGTCTTCTGAGAGGACGTCCCAGATACAGGTTTCCTTCATACTCCCCAATTAATTTTTCAATTTCTGAGTTGGACCTTTTCCTTTGATGTTGTCAGTTTTATTGGGAACGATTTCGCTTTTTTGGGAACGTTTTCTTCGATATTTTCTGGCCACCATGTGAACTGGCCACGAAAAGCTTGCCCGAACTTGCGCTTTTTTTCAAACGTATCGCAAATGCTCGTAAGTTTAAAAAAACTTGCGATGAAGTTTCAGCGGTTACATTAAGCAAATCACTGAACTATTTCGAACTATAAGTACACTGGAATGATAACTCCAAGTCTCCAATGAGTCTTTGAAGCCGACGCGGGGGAAAATTAGTTTTCAAAAGGACTAAGGAGAGTTTCGAGGAGTGAAAAAATTCGGTCAAAAATTTGTTTTTGAGCAAACGTTTGCAAGAAAACCACTTTTCCCATGGGAATGCTATAATGATTGGGATTCAAACCTGGTTTTCCAATTAGTTCCAACTGTTTTATATCTATGCTGCAAAAAGTGAGGAGTTTTGCTTTTGTATTTTGAAAAATGACGAAAGTTTGGACACTTCGCTCTGCAACTTAAAAAATACTATAAAACATTTTGACAGTCCCAAAACTTATTTTGTACTAAACCCCAGGTATTGTTATTTATCCTGAGCTTTTAGTCCTTGTTTTATTACCTCATCAACTAACCATTAATAACCAAAGTGAGAGTAAAGCAAGAGTACCAAGAATTCATAGACCTAATTATAGCAATTTAGTTAAAATCCCCACTATGAAAACTCAACAGCCAAAGTCACCGCACTTTAAATTAGTCCATAGCTTGAACATCAGATCGCTACGCAACACTGCTCATTTGACACAGCTCAAGGAATTCCTTTCAAAGACAAAAACTGAAGCGCTTACATTATCAGAAACGTGGTTGAACACTACGATAACGAATACTGAGATCTACATCGAAGGTTATACATTATACAGACAAGATCGCTTAAATAAACGTGGAGGTGGTATTTGCGCATACATCCGAAATGACATTAACGTCTCCAAACTCAAGGAAATTTCATCTGTTTCTGAAAACTATTTCCATCAGTTTTGGCTGAAACTTCAAAGTAAAAAGTTAAAATCTATCGTAATATGCATATCCTACAGACCACCAGAGTGTCCGTTGTCCTGCCTAGAAACCAACTTAAAGCCGAGTTTTGTCCAAGCCCTTCTCCTAAACAAGCCCATTTTTATATTGGGAGATCTGAATTGCAACGTTATGAAGGATAGTCCAGAGAACACAGCGGGGTGTGCTCTCACGTAAGGTATGCTTACTTTGGCCAAGAATTCTTTTCCTCAAAATTAGCCAATCACAGCTTTACCCACGAAAATTGTGGGGCTTGACCTTTGACCTTGAGGCTTGGGTCGTCAAAAGTTTCAAAACATTTAATCTTGAACATTTCATATCTTCATTTGTACGTATTCGTATCTTAAACTGATTATCTGCGAGAGCTGAGAGATATATTTGTTATACATATACCAGTCTACAAATTTATAATATGGAACAATTGTAAAATCTGTTAGAATTTGTCGAGCTTTTGTTTTGAAAAGACAGTGTAGTAAAATCGAACAATATCACCTAAAATATTTCGCGATGTTTTGATTACTTTACAAGCGTTTGCAGGTTACTGTAACATGGGTAATATACTGGACAAAGACGTCAAGACAAAATTATAAAGTTACAGTGTACATTACTGCGGGTGTAGTTAATAGATTTATACTAATACTAATTGAAGATTACAGAATTCAGCCTATATAAAATACTGAATTGATTCATTGCATATTTCGGTTTCTAAGTTTGTATATGACTAGCCAGTTTATAAAGTTTAATAAAATCGTAATTACAAATGTCGCTCTGAAATTGAACGTTCGGAAACTTATAGTATATATTGAATATACATGCCGTCACGCAGTCGCGTCAAGTTCAAAACAAGTATTACCAGTGAATAGTTTTATATACATTTAAGCCTCGACCTATCGCGTACATTCGTTGGAAAACTAATATTCAATATTTTCTACTTCGACTGCTATTGATCAGAAAACTCGATCTGTTCACATTTATGGCCATTTAAATACGTATATATTATTATTCGATTATCGCACGCTCCTTGTTTACACTTTACAGTTGACATTCAAAGTGGGCGTGTCTAGTGTATTTGAATGCTAATGCATACAATGGGAAGGCGAATTGCTAGCCAAAGTAAGCAGACCGTACGTGGCGGGCTCAAACCCGCTAAAGTAGGTCTGCATAGGAGACTAGTTCGAGATAAACTTGAACCAATTATTAATCATAACACCAACTAGAATAACAGACACTAGTGAATCGTTAGTTGACGTGATATCTTGTTAATGAAAGTGGTGTCATGGATACTATTATAAGTGATCATTTACCGGTGTACGCAGTTCTTAATATGAAGCTACCCAAGCCACCACCGCAATATATCCTAACGCGAAGCTACAAGGATTACGACGGAGAAAGGTTCACCGCCCACCTTGCATCAAGATCGCAAGAGCTTATTTCCATATTTTCGGATTCCAATGTCAATTCCAAACTCAACAAGTTTAACTACGTCCTTCTTATAACTTTGGCTGCCCATGCTCCAGTCAGAATAACCAAGATCTAAAATCGCTCTTGTCCCTTCATCACAACAGATATCAAAAACCAAATGTCCCACAGAAACCAACTCCACCGTCGTGACAAACGAACACGTGATATCGATGATTGGAGAGCATTTAAAAACGCCCAAAGATCAGTTGCTGCTGAAAAACAACACGTTCGAACTGAAGTTAACCTCCATAAAGATAATTCTAGATCGTTGTGGAAAGTGGTTAATAGGTGCATTCCATCTAAAGATAAAAGAATTTTGACTTACCACAAAAATACATTAGAGGTGGCCAACGATTTCAACCAGTTCTTTCAATCTGTGGGAAAAAGAGCTGCCGAAACAGCTAAAATGTTAGCCCTACAAAATAATCTAATATATCAACCGAGTTGGAGCCTCAGAATAGGAGATCTGAACTCTTCTCTACGGAATTGTTCAAGTTCACTGGTCAGACTCGGCCCATTGACAGACACATTAACAACTCATTTACCACCTCGGCGTTCCCTGAGTCCTGGAAAATAGCAGAAATTATACCATTCTTAATTAAAGGAAGGTGATCATGAAGTTGCTGCAAATAACCGCCCACTTTCAATGCTTAAAGTACTATCAAAGATCTGCGAAAATGTTGCTCTAAATCAATTTAGCGGTTTTCTTAACCGCACTGGCCGCCTATCCTCCCAACAACAAAGTGGAAACAAAAAGTATCATTCAACTGAAACACTCAGTATATTAGTCAATGATTTTTTGCTAAAATCGATGGACAACAAAAAGCTTACTGCTCTAGTTCTTTTGGACCTCTCAAAAGCGTTTGACAGCGACTATTCAATCCCGTTAAAGAAACTAAGCAATATTGGGGTTTCAGGTGAAGCCCTTAACTGGTTTGAAAGCTACATTACAGATAGAAAGCAGTTTGTTCGCATTGGCTCCTCGGTATCCGAAGTTCTACCAATCACTCATGGAGTGCCTCAGGGAGCAATATTGTCACCGCTATTGTTCTGCATCTATATAAATGACCTCTCAAGAGTATCACAAGCATCTGAGTTGGAATCATTCGTCGACGATTCTAAGATCTTTATTGTAGTAAGTTGTTTATTCAGGCAGCCATATTGGACAACCACAGTCGCCCCAGACCTCTAAGTATCATGCTACATCTCCCTTTCTTTAGCAACGTTAACAAATCCCTAACATAACTAATCATGAACTAGAACAAGTCAAAATATTAAGTTTTTTAAAGGTTTATATACTGTTCGCATCTGTCTCCAGTTCATTTCTTCTCTAGCATTTCTCCTTTGAAGTCCTTTCTCTTCCTGCGACAGTAAATGTTAAAATGTTAAGTAGTTAAGTGTATCGGTGTATATGGCAATGTTTTCTTTATTGTTCAGATGTATACCTACGATTTGGTTTTATTGTTCGACCATACCGTGAAGTCACTAATCCTGGCTGGTCTTGTTTCACCAGACGTTCGAGTTGATCTTGTCTCCGCGTTTGTCGAACTTGGTTCTGGAACTTTCATCAAATGTGATCGATTTCGCCTTAAGACTCTGTCGTTGCTATCTGTTATCAGGTATGATCTTGGAGCGATCTCTTTTTTAACTTTTGCAGGTTGCCAGTTTGCTTTTGGGTCTGTTTTTTGCCATGACGTGATCTCCTTTGCTTAATTTGGGGAGCGATGCGGTGTGCTGGTCATAATATCTCTTTTGTCTGTCTCGTTCGTTCTTAAGATTCGTTGTAACATTTTCAACTACTTTTGGCTTTAGAAGCTGGTCGCTGACTGGCAACAAGGTTTTGGTTCTACGACTAAAAAGTCGTTGAGCTGGTGAACCAAGGTCGTTGTTTCTTGGTGTATTGCGAAGCTCGAGGATTGCCAAATTGGGATCTGTTCCTTCCTTGCGTGCCTTCTTTAGGACTTTCTTTAAGGTCTGGATTGTACGTTCGGCAAGACCGCTGCTCTTTGGGTAATGTGGACTCGATGTCTTGTGTGTGAAAGTCCATTCTTTTGCAAATTGCTTGAATTCTGCATTGTTGAATTGAGGACCATTGTCCGAGATTAAAACATCTGGAATGCCGTGTCTTGCAAAGGTGGTTTTACAATGCTTAATTATAGTTGGTGTTTTCGTACTCGTTAGCTTCATTACCTCAAAAAAGTTTGAATAGTAGTCCACTAATAGAAGGTAGCTTTCTTTATGCAACTCAAACAAATCTGCGCCTAATTTTGACCAAGGTCTGTCCGGTATCTCATGAGGTAACATAGGCTCTTTACATTGGCTGTTTCTGTGCTCCAAACAGAGTGAACATTTGGAGACCATTTCTGTTATTTGCTTACTCATACCTGGCCAGAAAATAACATCTCTAGCCCTACGTAATGTTAGTTCTATGCCAAGATGTGCTTGGTGAAGTTTCTCTAATGTGATCGCCCTTTCGCTGGCTGGAATGATTAATTGTTCTCCTCGAAAAATGAGACCGTCATAACAACTCAGTTCATCGCGATAGCTCCAGTAAGGGCGAGTCTCTAATGGTGCGTCTGACCTGTTAGATGGCCAACCCTTTTGGCTTGTAACTCTGGATCTTTTTCAGTAGCGTTTCGTATTTGATTTAATTTTTCTTCTGTTGCAAGTATAATAATGTGTACATGGAAAATGTCATCGGTCGATGTGTCTCCGTCTTTACATTCTTGGGTTGAGTCAGTAGCTCGACTAAGTGCATCTGCGATATACATTTGTTTTCCAGGCTTGTGAACGACCGATATGTTATATTGCTGGAGACGGAGTAACATACGTTGTAGGCGGATAGGTGCTCTGTATAGTGGCTTGGTTACAATCGCTTCTAAGGGTTTGTGGTCTGTTTCAACTACAACTGTTCGACCGTAAATATATTGGTGAAAATGTTCGCAACCATACAGGATGGCTAAAAGTTCCTTTCGATTTGCGCATATCGCTTTTGACATTCAGTGAGGGGCTTGGAGGCATAGGCAACTGGTTGTTGGCTTTGGAGCAATACTGCCCCAAGTCCTTCCGAACTAACATCCACTGACAGGACCAATGGTTCGTTTATAGCATAGTATTTAAGAACTGGTGCTTTGGTGAGAAGAGTTTTTAATGAGTCTAGACTTTTTTTATGTTCATCAGACCAGTGCCATTGAACATTTTTCTCTAATAGTCGGCGTAATGGTGCATACTCTTCAGCCATATTTGGTATGAATTTGGACAGGTATGCTAACATTCCCATGAATCTTTGCAAATCTTGTTTGTTTGTGGGACCCGACATATTTAAGATGGCGTCGACTTTCGAAGGATCTGGTTTGACACCTTGTTCACTCAGAAGATGTCCAATATAGGGAATTTATGTAAGACCAATTTTGCACTTGTCTTTGTTCAACTGGAGGCCAATGGCCCTAAGTCTTTCCAGGAGTTTGATTAGTCTTTCATTGTGTTGCTCATTGTTCTCGCCCCATACAAGCATATCCGCCATTATAACTTCAACTCCCTCTAGGCCTTCTAGCAGTTGTTTCATGTGTTTTTGAAAAACTTCAGGGGCTGACTTTATGCCAAATGGTAAGCGTTTAAATTTGTACCGTCCGTAAGGGGTGTTAAACGTACACAACAAACTACTGGCTTCATCCAAAGGTATTTGCCAAAACCCACTTTTGGCGTCGAGGACTGAAAAAACGTTGGCATTGGGAATTCGGGCAGTTCTTCAATTGTTGGAAGAGGAAAATGTTCACGTTTTATGGCTTCATTTAAATTTCGTGGATCCAGGCATATTCTTGTTTTGTGTGGCTTAATAACAGTTACCATGGAGTTAATCCAATCGGTGGGTTGATCAACTTTTTCAATTACACCTTTGTTACGGACATACCGCACAAGATATTATAGTCTTCAAAATTTTAATGTTCATTGTAAAATACACGCTTACAAACAGCGGTTTATAAAATTATTGACCATGCTCTCAACCATAATATCTTGTGCGGTATGTCCGTAACATAGTTTATAAAATTGACCTGAATTCGATGAGATTGACAAATTGTTAGCGCCGTATACAGTCGGTGTTATTGTTGACTTTGTTGTCAATAATCAATGTTTAGCGGTCAAGTGCATACGAATGAAGACGGTGAGTTTGCTGATCTTGGAGCCGTTGGAGAAGCATTTCAAGTTGGTCAAACCACGAATATAGGAGAAGAAAGTTTCGTGGGACGCCGAGCGGGAAATATAAGCAATTGGAACGACGATGCTCGAAGAGAAAGAGCTCAAGATTTGAAGCGTTCGCGTGCAGGACATTTGTCACGGTTGACAAGGTTATATAGAGAGATTAATAACCTAACCAGTACTAAAGACAGTCTGTTACAGCCAGTTATAGAGAAGAGGATCGATCTAGACGTTGCCTTTGAAAAGTTCAAACAAGTACATTATTATTTGTATGTTGCGTATTTGACAGATAACGAAGTTATAGAAGATGAGCAATGGATTTATGAATCCAGAGTTCGAGAGCACGATGGCATTTTGCAAAATACTGATCAATGGATACAAAGAACTAAATTGAATCTTGAGTCAGAGATAAGGGCGGAGGATTCTATCAGTCAAATAAGTTCACACAATCCAAAGCCTGATGCAAAACTCGCGGATTCACGAAGTCGCGCGGGTCCAGAAAGCCACGCGAGGTCTCGAGTCGACGTGGGTCTTGGAAGACACGCAAATACACGAAGTCACGCGAGTCCATGAATCGACGTGGGTCCACGAAGCCACGCAAGTCCACGAAGTCATGCGAGTATACGAAGCCACGCGGGTTCTGGAAGTCACACGAGTTTCGAAAGCCACGCGAGTTCGGTAATGAGGTTAAACGAAGCGACGGAAAAAAGAGAACTTGCTCGTCTAAAGCTCCAACAGCTTCAGAAGTTACAAGAGTTGGAGTTAAAGAAGCTTAGAGTAAAAGGCGAAGAAGGTACCCTCAAGCTTCAAAATGAGTACGAACAAGCTATCCTCAGTGAACGGATATGGGGTCAAACAGAAGAAGTGATAAGTCGAGTGGAGAAACAAGAACTGCCTAAATTGGTTTCTCGAAAGGATGAATCACCTAAGAGCGCACAACCCCTTCCTTTTATCCCAGGAACTTATTTGGAACGGAAGCACGATATTGGCATATCGGAAGATGTGAAAGGTCAGAACGATAAGTCAGAGTTTCAAGTTAATAGAGACAGTCTTTCTAGTAAACCCTCGTCGTTCTGTCCATCTCGAAGCAACGCCAACGTGGGTGGCCAAGAAATTCTCAAAAGCGTTGTCGGTATATTGAATGAAGGTTTTAACATGCCGAAGCCAGAGTTACTCACGTTCGATGGCAAACCTTTGCATTACTGGAGATTCATAAACAATTTCGAAACGAACATCGCCAATGAAACTACGAATCCTAGAAAACGTCTGGCATACTTAATCCAGTACTGCAAAGGAGAAGCTAGGGAAGCGATTGAAAACTGTAGTATTCTCGATCCAGAAAGGGAATATTTGAAGGCTCGAGAAATTTTGCAACAACAATTTGGAAGACGTCACGTTGTTACACAGTCACATATCAAGCAGATAGTCGATGGGGTGGATGGTGCCAGCCTGCAAAAATTGGCTCGTCAAATGCAAAATTGTGAGTTGACACTATCAAAGATGGGATGGTCAGATGAATTGAATAACAGCGAAACTCTACTACGAATTGTGGATCGTTTGCCCAGTTTTATGCAGCTTAAGTGGAACGACGACCTCGATTTTCCGACCTTGCCCGATTTATACAAGATAAAGCCGATGTTGCTGCAAATATGTTTGGGAAACATGTGGTAGAAGCTAGAAAGAAAGCTACTAGAGATCTACCTAAAGGTAGAATAAAGGAGACAGCACGAGCAACTACCTTGGCCACAGCAAATAAAGAAGTTCCCAGAGAAAGCGGAAAGACAGCTACATCACGGTGTTTATTGTGCTCACGCGATCACGAACTCAGTAGATGTGATGAATTCAAGAAGAAATCGTACGAAGAGCGAGTTCAAATCGTTAGATCCAAAAGAATCTGCAACAATTGTTTCAAATCTGGACACTTTGCAATAGGTTGCTTGGAGAAAAAGTTGTGCGAATTACCGGAGTGTCGAAGAAAACACCACACCCTGTTGCATCCACCAAATCCTGGTCCAGAAACATCTAGCCAGAAGAATCAAGCGGTGCAAGTTGATGTTGGATCGTCAGCTGGTGTATGTGGTATGACCAGCTGTAACCGTCGCGACGTGTGCCTGAGAATTGTTCCGGTTAAAGTTGGTAATCCTGATGGTCGGAAAGTGGAAACTTATGCCTTGCTTGATAGCGGCTCAGAAGTTTCTTTATGCGATAGACGGTTGATAAATAAATTAGGTCTGGACGGAGTTGAAAAGCAATTTACGTTAACAACCTTAAATGAAGAAAAACAGTATCGAAATGGTTTGGAAGTGAATCTAGAAGTTTCGAGTTTAAACAACGAACATTCGATTTCGCTAGAAGGAGTATGGTCCGTGGAAGCATTGCCTGTTTCGTCAAAAGCCATACCAGTTGAAGAAGACTTGAAGAAATGGACTCACCTCAGTGACCTAGAGTTCCCGAGAATAGAAACTGAAGACGTCATGTTGTTGATAGGAGCAGACACACCTGAAGCCTTCTGGGTGATGGAGGAAAGACGTGGAGAACGGGGCGAGCCGTGTGCTATCAAGTCGCCATTGGGTTGGGCACTATTCGGTCCCACTGCAAAATTTAAAGATAGCGAAAGTGGAATGGTGAATCTGATTAAGCGCGACGATGGTCAACTGCAGCGTCAGCTTGAGATGTTCTGGAAAACCGATTTTGGTGACTCACTCGCGGACGACAGGAAATCGATGTCTGTCGAGGATTGTCGGGCGCTGAAGATCATGAATGAGACTGCAACGAAAGTCGAAGGTCATTACCGTTGCTCTACCGTGGCGCAGTGACTCTCCAATCTTGCAAAATAACCGCCAGATGGCCGAATCACGTCTTCATATGTTGAAGAAGCGATTGCAGAAAGATGACGAGGTTTGCAGAAAATACGTGGAAGTCGTAGACAGTTACCTGAAAAAGGGTTATGCAAGAAAGGTTCCTGAAAATGAGCTCCACAAGAATGATGGATCAGTATGGTATCTCCCACATCATGCCGTGGTCCAACCGCAGAAGGCCGGTAAAGTGCGGGTCGTTTTTTATTGTGCCGTAGACTTTCCAAAGTCCTTTCCAGACCCCTCTATGGCGCGCTTCACTTCCTCTGTGGAAAGGACTTTTGTCACTTGCAGCGCGCCAAATATCACCGGTGGAAAAATCCACCGGTGACGTCATTGTTTACATTGAAGGCCGAAGCGGTTTAAATTTATTGATCATTATCGAAGGAGTCTAAAAATAACATTATATTCTCAGGCTTTTTTGTTGAACAAACATTTATTATTGAAGCAAACAGAGTAAACAACGTAAATACAATTTTGTAGAACACAAAAACCATGTGAAAATACACAAGCGGCAAACATTACATTGACTATGAGTACATACAGCCTACAGGGTGTAGAAATAGACTTTAATACTGTCACCGAAAATGCATGCATCTGATGATTCTAGAATCTCGATCACAATCGCCGCCTCTCTGCTTCTTGGTTACAGATGCCTGATTCTTTTCAATTAGATTAACTTCTACTACGTTAAATCGCTCGCGAACTTAATCAACTTTCTTTAATAAGTCTAATAAATTACTATTCTACGGGAAACTCGTCTTAGACGGGAAACTCGTCTCAGACGGGAAACTCGTCTAATATGAATCCGGGCGCAGACGAGTTTCCCGTCCGAACTTTCCCGTCTAACTTACCCGTCTAAACAGACGGGAAAGTTAGACGGGAATCTCATCTAGACGGGAAACTCGTCTTAAATTCGAATTTACCCGTCCCTAAATTCATATTCAGACGAGTTTTCGCAGACGAGTTTCCCGTCTAAGACGAGTTTCCCGTCCCTAATATGAATCCGGCTATTGTTAGACAAAACAACTGTCTAGATTCGATAAGTTTTTACATGCACTTGTTTTTGTTGATACATTAACAGCTTTCGGCGCTTACTTGGGTCAGTTATTTCGTTTCCACACTCGGTGCAAACTGTTTCAGTCGAGGACAAAGAAATATGAATTCTTGAGAATGTTTTTGTAGACCCATTGACGGCGCGCGGTGAAGCAATTGTATGAAATGTGCACACCATATTTATATGTCAAAATTATTCGCGCCAAAATTTTTAATGCGATTTAAATTCCTGCAAGCGACACAAGTCGACCACTCGCGACTTCGTCGCTCGGGTCGCGCGCTCCCTCCCCCGCGCCCTCCCTCTCCCATGGTCGACTTGTGGCAAGTCTAATTGTGCCGCTAAATTTAAAGGAACTTCCCTGAACGATAAACTCCTTCGTGGCCCCGATTTTAATAACAACTTGGTTGGTGTGCTTATTCGATTCAGAGAACAGCCAATTGCGATTGTATCGGATATTAGAGAGATGTTCCATCAAGTCCGAGTGTATCCTGATGATCGAGACGCACTACGTTTCTTGTGGTGGCCCAACAACGACTTGACCAAGGATGCCAAGGATCATCAAATGCAAGTACACATTTTTGGAGCAGTGTCATCCCCAAGCTGTACTAGCTTTTGCCTCAAGAAGACAGAGGACGACAACTGTGAGAAGTTTGACGTAGAAACTATCAAAACCGTGAAAAGAAACTTCTACGTTGATGATTGTCTAAAGTCAACGCAAACAGTCGCCAAAGCACAGCGCCTCGTTCGTCAACTGATCGATTTACTTGCACTCGGAGGGTTCCATCTCACAAAATGGATATCCAATAGTGAAGCAGTGATGGGAACGATTTCCAATGATGAAAAGGCTCCCTCTGTCGTAAACTTGGACTCCAGTCAACCAATGATCGAACGTGCACTCGGTGTGCAATGGAACGTGCGGGCCGACGAATTTAGTATCAAAGTTACGAAGCAAGACAAACCATCAACAAGGCGTGGTATATTGTCGATCGTATGCTCCGTGTACGACCCGTTGGGTTTTGTGGCTCCTTTCGTTTTAACAGCAAAGAGAATTCTACAAGATCTTTGCAAGAAAGGGCGTGGTTGGGACGAAGAGCTTGAGGAGAATGAATTACGAAGTTGGGAGGATTGGTACTCGGACATTGAAATATTAACCAACATATCCGTCGCTAGATGCATCAAACCGGCAACCTTGGGTGAGGCGAAGTACCTTGAGTTACATCACTTTTCGGACGCTTCGCAGCACGCTTACGGAGTCGTGTCCTACCTTCGACTTGAGAACACTTTGGGTCAAATTCACTGTTCGTTTTTGTTCGCCAAGTCACGCCTAGCGCCCTTGAAAACTGTCTCCATTCCTCGACTGGAACTGTCGGCAGCAGCCTTGGCGGTGAAGTTAAATCGGATGATTCAAGACGAGTTAGATTTGGAAATTGAAAGAACGGTTTTCTGGTCAGA